TAGGTAGCCCCCTTTCCTAACGGGTAATCAGTCAGAAAAGTCAAATGTCATGGCAGTCCACTTCTAAGGGGTACTTAAATTAATTGAAATCCCAAAGACACTTAGGGAATTGGTCTCTTAGGAACAGTGAGAAGAATGATTAACACTGTGGGGAGAGGAGGATGGAAGGGATGGAGAAAGGCTGCACAATGGGCATTAAGATACAGTATAAAAAAATGAGTTCAAATAATGAGAATGTGGTACATATAAACACTGGATTACATCCAGGTATAATGGAAGAATAAATTATGAAATTAGTAGGAAAATGGATGAAAAAATTGATAGACATGGAAAGTATAATATTAAGTGAGATGACCCGAACTTAAAGAAAATATTTTCCCTCATATGAGGATGCTAGCCTATAATGGCCCCAGAGAAATGAGTTTCTTCTGGGCACAGCAGATATCTCAGCAATTAAGAGTGCTTGCTGCTCTTCCCAAGGAGCTGGGTCTTATTCCTGACACCCAGGTGGGGCTCAAAAACATCTGTAACACCAATTTGAGGGGTTTCAGTGCCTTTTTCTGGCCTCTGAGGATACTTTTGGTTATATAGGATTGCATGTGGGCAAACCATTCATAAGCATAAAAAACTTTTAAACTTTTACCTCTTGTGAAATGTATACAGCCTTGTCAAATCAAGCACACCCTGTACGGGTTCCACTAGGTTTTTATTCCTAAAAATGGGAAATTCTGTGCCACACTGAGCAGTCAGTTACAGTTGTCATGTGAGTGATTACTTTGAAGCAGTGCAGAATACATTTTTGAGCACCCTGTATAACCTAGATCACATATTTTGATTTCAAGAAATATAGACCCTAGAGGAAGTAGAATTCCTGCCAAACATTTTTTTTCTTTAAATGAAATTTTGTCAAGTGTAATCATTTGATATGAAGACACTGCATTTCTTTTACAGTTCCCATGTATATATGCAAACAGGTGTAAATATGTCTATAGTCTCGCTTAGAACACAGAGAGTAATATTTGGTGTTGAATGAGGAAAGAGGGAATCCAGGCATAAGAACACATGAGTTATGAAAGAGGATGAAGTGTTTATTTTTGTGTTTGTTTTTAAGCATAGAGCACCCAGTATTCCCAAGTGGTCTCCTGTCCAAGGCTTGACCCTGCTTAGCTTCTAAGACCAGACAAGATCAAGCACATCCTGGACAGGACGATCATAGACAAAAATTTTTTCCAAGTTTTATATATGTATTTACATTATTGTATGAATGTTTTTGCCATGCACATATGTATGTTTGCTATGTATGTGCTTAGCCCCTATTGAAGTCAGAAGACAGCATCAAGTCCCCTGGGACAGGAGTTACTGGTGGCTGTGAACCACTCTGTGGGTGCTAAGATTCAAACTCAGGTCCTCTGCAAGAGCAGCCGATACCCTTAATTCCTGAGCTATTTCTCCAGCCCGTGGATTTTCTTTTCTTTTTTTAATTTGTTTTGTCATAGTCAACATGTGAATTATTCTGAGGTAGTTATTATGAAGGTCATGTTCTTGTTAAATCAATTGTCAGTTAGTGTCATAGGAGTTAGACATGGCTAGCCCCTGAATGCATTGGTTGCACTGATCCACTTAGAAGAAGAGGGTTTTTTTTTTTTTTTTGGTTTGGTTTGATTTGCTTTTTTTTGCTTTTTTTTTATTTTTTCTCAAATCATATTTCACACAGGGGTATAAACACAGAAAGGCAGGACGTGGGGAAGGGAATGACACTGGAGTGTGGGTGATCAGGGGAAATACAGATATCTTCAGAACCGGGTATCGGCTGGGTGAAGGTTCAGGGGACAAGTCACCATGACTCTGCCTATGACTCGCTTGTCCCCATCTAAGCTGGTATTGTCTGCCAAGACTACCTATTTACAAGGTCCATGACCACTCAGGCTTATAAATTTCCACAAAAGCTGCCCGTTGACATTAGCTTATAGCCATCTGTTTCAATGTTCTTCCACTGAGACCCAAGACTTGGTGTTAGTATACATGTATGACAGGCCCACTGCTGATTTTAGGCCTATGGCTGATTTTAGGCCTACAGTGTGTAAGCAGGGCTGCCCCTGACATCTCCTCCCTTCTCTAAGGGCTGTGGCAATTCTAAACTTGCAAAGGTGGGGATAGAGGCCTGACCTCCAGTATTTGAAGGGGACCTTGTAATGGCTCCAGTCCCCCTGTCGTTGTCCAGTGAGGCATGAGGGCCATACCCGTCCCGATGTCTTTTTCCTGGAGAGGGGATACTTTTTACATCAACCCCTATGCAGTCAGGCTTGTCCCTCAGGGAACCCAGATATTTTTATCTTTTATTGATATTCCCTTGCAGTGCTTAGCCTCGCAGCCTAAGCAAGAATTCAGATCGCCTGTCAGAGGGGGTTCTGGGTGGCCCCTCTCTGCTTGGTCTAGGGGCAGAAGTCCCCCCTTTTTAGGTTGGGTGGAGATGGGTTTTGGAAACACCCTGAGGTTTTTTTTTTTTAAGTTACTTTGTGGGGAGAGGTTTTATGACCTGAAAATCTCTCCTTTTTTATTTTGTTTAATACTATCTCAAGCCATTCTATTATAGTATTTCTTAATATGTGATATTGCTATGGATAAAGTGTTTCATTTAAATAAAAGTTAAAATAAAAAATTTGAAACTGTAAAAGGATCTGTTGTTCTAGTTGATAGTTGGGTAATTATACGTAGCAATGTGCCTATGTTTCAAAAACATTGGAATGATTTTTGCTCTTTTCACTACAACAAAATATGTTTGGAGAGGTGTGTGTTTCTGTGGTTTGAACATTACCCAGTGTAGAAAAGTGCCCTATCCAGCAGGGCAGTGAACAGGTTCTGGGGGACCGCCTGAAAGACAGAATGGTGGAACAGGTGCATGCAAAGAACCGTTTCTTGTCTGTAGTCTGATCAAACCACTATTTTCAATTTTTTCACACAGGGGTTATATACACATAAAGGCAGGATGTGGGGAAGGGAATGATGCAGGAGTGTAGGTGTTCTCAGGGGCAGTACAGATATCTTCCAGAACATGGTATCGGCTGGGTGAAGAAGCAGGGAACAGGTCACTATGACTTTGAGTCATCCGTTCTTATCTAAGCTAATACTTTCCACCAAGGCTACCTATCCACAAGACCTATGACTACTTGTTCTTATCCAGGCTGGTAAATTTCCACTATGACTACTTGTCTACAAGGGCTATAGCTATCTGTTCTATGGTCAGTGTTTTTCCACAGAGACCAAAACTTTGTGTTAGCAGGCATGTATGTTTGACTTAGGCCTATAGCTGACTTTGGGCCTTCAGTGTTTAAGCAAGGCTGCTCCTGACAGAAAAGTACTGAAACTTTGCAAAGCGGCCTATTAATGAGTATGATTTCAATTCATCAATGAAATTAGAAAGTCCTTCTCATTAAGGAATTTTATTCAGCAACAGAAATTAATGAATCTGTGTCATTAGTAAGATACTGGATGCAACGGGGGAGGGGTCGATACTCAGCATATTGGGCCAGACCAAAAAAGACAATGTGCCATATTTTCTCTATCTTGTGTATCATGAGTTTTTAAAATAGATTTCTAAAATCATTTATATATATACACACACATATAATTATATAATGTGTGTGTATATATATGTATGTGTATGTGTACATATGTATCTATATATACATATATGATATTATATATAAAATGTTATATAACATATGACATAACATAGAAGCAAATTGTCTAGAAGAATGGAAAGGACTATCAGTAGAGACAAGAAAAGATAAAGAGAGCATAATGGACTGTTGGAGGAGCAGGTTAAAGTATATATCTTTATATGAAACCATAGCCATAAAACACATTAGTACATGCAAGAATATGTACCAATTCTTTAAAAAATGAGATGACTGGGAATCACAGCACACACCTTTAATCCCAGCAAAGATTAGAAGGTAAGCAGGCAAATTTTAGGTTGATGGTAATCCTGGTATATATAGCAAGTTTCAAGCCAGACAAGGCTACATAATTGAGACCCTGTCTCAAATGACAAAACAAAAACAATGGGGTAGAAAGAAAGCCCTCAGGATAGAAAGTAGAATAACGATTGTCAGGGAATGTGAGCTTCTATTTAACTGATAGAACTTCAGTTTTTGAAGATTAAAAACTGTTACACAGCCAGATGTGGTGATGCTCTGAATTGTGTGATTAAATGGGACAGTATATTAGGACAGAGTTACCATGCAGTGAGTTAAACACGATTGTAGTATCAATATTTGTCTGACTGTAGGTAGACTGGATCTACTGTAAATTCACCTAGCCAAATTCAATTTTAAATGTGTATTCATGAAGCATCAGTATGTGTTAAATAGGAGCCATTCCAATCAATTTTCTGAGTTTTATGTGAACTTTTTGAAGATTTTGTTGTCATTCTGTTTGAACATAACCCTCTAGTGCCATGGTTCTCAACAGAGGATTGCCATTCCTTTAGGATCTATTTCACTGTCAAACCTCCTTGACTCTATTGATGAACTGTACATTTTATTGGCTTGTTCTTTTCAGTTGGTTATCATGCCCTCTGACTGTGGCCTTAGCATAAAGGTTTTCATTTGGCTTGGCTTTTGGCTTGGCTTGACCTTGGCTTGGCTTGGTTTTTCAAGATAGAGTTTCTCTGTGTAGCCCTGGCTATCCTAGGGCACTCTCTGTAGACCAGGCTCGCCTCAAACTCCGAGATCTCTGGCTCCCTCTGATTGCTCTGAGTGCTAGGATTAAAGGTGTGTGCCACCAGTATCTAGACATTAATTTTAACACATGATTCACATAAATTATAGTGAAAGGGTGAAGGCTTAATCTAGATATATCTGAAAGAAAAAGAGCATAATATCAATAACTTTGAGCCTTTTGAATTTGTTGAGATTTGACTCTCATATTACTTCTCAGGTGTCACATCTTGGCTTTGAAGATTTATCAAGCTCTGGAATCTGAGTTCACTGTCCAAGATGGTGGACTCATCTGGCCATGGCTTGCTGAAGCCTCTGCAAAAACTGAGTGATGAGGAATTCTGGAGTTTTAAAGAGCTTCTCAGGAAAGAGCCAGAGAAATTTAAACTCAAACCAATATCCTGGACGAAACTTGAAAATGCTTCCAGAGAAGACCTGATAATGCTATTGAACACACATTATCCAGGACACACATGGGATATGGTGCTGAGCCTGTTTCTACAGGTCAATCGTGAAGATCTCTCAATCATGGCTCAGAAAAAGAGGAGACGTAAGTAAGAATGGAGAGAAAGGGGACAATGAGGAACTGTTGGGTACCAGCCTTAGCTGTTGGCAGGGCCTGGAGCAGGATGGAAACAAGAGCAGTGAAGGGAAGGAAGTATAAGACAGGGGAAGTCATTTGTTTCATGAGAGACAAGACAGAGAGGAAACACATCTCTGAATGGCTTCTCCTACTTTAACAATCTCTTTCTATTGTAAGCTTTGTTTTTGCACAAAATTATTTCCTCAGAAATTTTATTCATTGATTACACAGCTTTTCAAAATACATTTTCTCCTAAAGTCTTCCTTGATTACCTGAGAATATTGAAAGAGGAACAAAGCAAACAAACAGCAATTTTATGAAAACTGAGAATTAACATTATGATAAAATCAATTTTCTTCTAACTCAGTATCCTCTTTCTTAAAATTGGTGCTGTAAAGCCTTACAGTCATAGAAATGCTAGGCAGGATGACTCTATTTGAATTTGATTATATTTCAGTTTGGCACAGAATTAATAAATCTAAAGTTACTTCCAACTACCTGTTACATCAAACTTGGCTTTCTACAAAATTTCAATCCCTCGGACCCTTATAAAAATTTTCCTGTCCTTCCTCTATACATTTATGGTTGACATTAGACTACTGCCCTTTTTCTTTGATTCTTAAAATATTGTGTAGCCCCTTGCTTGAGCAAAGGGAGTCTATCAGAAAAGTTCTGGTCTGACAAGTCTGTTCAAGAAGGCAGGCAGTTCAGTGACCCAAAATCCTGTCCTCTATGTCTCTGTCATGAACCCTTGTTTCAACATGATTCCTAACTTTAATACAATTCTGTAAAGAACAAATGAACATCAAGATTCCTAAAACTACTGATTTTTTGTCTTCAGGAAGTTACTAAGGCTTGTCATTATGTATATAATCAAAGTCTCTTCCTAGTCATACAAATTATTTCTAAGACTGAACACCTAGAAGGTCACTATAATGTGTCCGATTCTAGAATTTCCCTAAACTTTTCTTCTTTAGTAATTTTCTTATATCCTCTGTATCAAACTTACTAATAACATTCATTAATTATCTAAATGTTTATTTAAGTAACATGTTCTGAAGAACAACTCAATTTTTTTGTATAACTTTATTTTGGGGAACTTTCATTAATTTCATTCTTGTTTGCACTAGGTTTTTGTTATCACAGTTCTAGCTTTCAGAGACCATCCTTTAACAGTGAGAAATATAAGTATAGCTAAAGGTATGTTGCAAATTTGCACCAAGGGCAGTGGAGGGTCAGCTCATGTGGTCCAAGCACTGGAACTTTTTTCAAGCAGCATCTTCAGGACACTTGACATTGAGAGGGAAAGTTAGCCAAGTAGCAGCTTCTATTTTAAACTTTGTATTCTCCTATATATTACGTCTTGACTGTAATTTCCTCTCCCTCCATTCTCTGATTCCTCCTCCCTTCTTGCATACATCTGCTGCTCTGCATTCATTTTCACAAAACAGCAGGCCTCCCAAGGATATCCATAGAACACACATACAAGTTACAGTAAGACTAGGCACAAATCCTCATATGGGACTGAATGAGGTAACCCAGCAGGAGAGAAAGTGTCCCAAGAGCATGTGAAGAGATAAGACACCCCAACTCTGACTCTTAGGGATCTCACAAAAACACCAAGCTAACAACTATAAAGTGAAGGTGACATCATCACTGAGTGATAGCCCTCCATGTCTGGATATTTGGAAAGGTTTGAAAAAAAAAACTTGAGTATTATATACAGATCGTCATTTAACTGGAGTGACAGAGGGTGTCATAATGCACGTGACAATAAGAGAATATGCCGGGTGGATGGTAACTAATGAAGCAGATTCTAATATTAACATTGTTTTCCCTAGTTAGCCAAGAAAATTGTTCTTTTATCTGTTTTTTTTTAAAAAAAATAGCATTCAAAACAACAAATAAGACATTCCTACCTCTCTCTCCCTCTATCTCTCTCCTTTTCCTCACTCTTTCCCTTTCAGTCTTTGAAAATGATTCACTGTGTAGTTAAGACTTGTCTTAAACTCATGATTTTCTCCTTCAACTTCCCGAGTTCTGTGTTCTCAGGTACCCAGTGCCAGACTCACCTGCAATGCAGTTCTGTCATGTACTTACTCATGCTGTTACCAGACATGAGCTGTGAATAGGCCTTCATCTCCTCGCATAGAAACATTACCTTTGTAGCCTGTGAAATTTCTTGTCTTTGTTTGTTTGTTTTTTCGAGACAGGGTTTCTCTGTGTAGCCCTGGCTGTCCTGGAACTCACTCTGTTGACCAGGCTGGCCTCAAACTCAGAAATCCACCTGCCTCTGCCTCCCAAGTGCTGGGATTAAAGGCGTGCGCCACCACTGCCTGGCCTGTAAATTTCTTCACAGAGAAAGACCTCAAATTTGCAACCTTAGAATTTCTCTAGGTATGGAGCTTGTCAAAATCCTTCTGGAGGGAGTATTTTATCGACAAATGACCTCACATTTCAGAGGCATCAAAGCCACCTCCATGTCCCAATGTGTCTTCACATCATACATCCTTTGACAGAATCATAGTTTAACAGATGTTGTAAACGACAGAAGTGTCCATCAAAAATCTTCAGCAAAGCCACATGCTTGGTTTGGCTGGTCCTTAGTTATGTGACTTATTGTCTAGTCAGCAGCAGCAAGATGATCAATGTCACTAAATCAATTTTCTCATGGGGATAAGAACATCTGTTATTTAGAAAGGACCATGAAGACATATACATATAAGATATTGAGTATAACTGGACATGGTCACTGTATCACTTACTTTTCTGTTGCTGTGATAAAACACCATGGCCAAAAGCAACTCATGGAAGAATTTATTTTGGCTTATGGTTCCAAAGTGATGAGTCCATTATGGAGAGAGACATGACAACACACAGGCATGGTGATAGAGCAGAAAGCTAAAATCACACTTCAGCTGCAAGCATGAAGCAGAGAGAGTGAACTGGAAGTGGGGTGAGGCTATAAATGTTTAATGCCTTGCTGGTATGGAATTACTTCTTTCCTGTGTTTCCTTAGATGTTGCTTTCCTCCTTGGGTTAGAGTTTCCTCCTAGTTTTTTTCAGGATGGCTGGATTTGTATATAAATATTGTTTTAATTTGGATTTGTCTTGAAACATCTTTTCTCTGTTTATGGCAATTGAAAGTTTTTCTGGGTATAGTAGTCCAAGTTAACACCTGCAGTTTTTTATAAGGTGCAAGATATCTGTCTGGGCCTTCCTAACTTTGAGACTCTCTTGAGAAAATGGTGTAATTCTGCCCCTTTTAATATTATTTCTCCCTTCTGTATTTTTGGGTTTTGATTATTATGTGCCCAGAGGATTTTCTTTTCTAGTTGGTGTGATTTTCAGTCTAATTGGGGTTCTATATGTTTTTGTATGTTTATAGGCATCTCTTTCTTTAGGTTGGAAAAGTTTTCTATGATTTTGTTGACAATATCTCCTGGGCCTTGGATCTGGAACTCTGTATCTTCTTCTATTCCTATTATTCATAGGTTAGGTCTTTACATGGTATTCCAGATTTCCTGGATGTTTTCTGTCAAGAAGTTTTAAGATTTAACATTTTCTCTGACAGATGTATCATTTTTTTCTATTATATCTTCTACATCTGAGATTTTTACTTCCACTTCCTGTGTTCGGTTGGTGATGCTTGCATCTGCTGTTCCTGTTCTCTTCCTTGGTTTTCCATATCTAGGATCTCCTAAGTTTGTTTTTTCCTTTATTGCTTCACTTTCAGGTCTTGCACAGTTTTATTTGTACCTAGATGGGTTTGGTCCCTGGATGTTCTTGTTGTAGTGGATATTGGGAGGAAGGTGAACCTCGATGGATCTGGTGTGGGAGGCATCTCATGCTACCCTTGAAGTATATGGCTCCAGAAATGCAGTTCTGTCTGGTTCAGGAGCCACAAGTCTGATGAAGGTGGGTGGAGAGGTTGCAGGAGAATTGAGGTACCCCTGGGATAGTAGGCTGCACAGGGCAGCTTGGCTTGGCCCAAAGGGCTCAGTGATTAGAGATGATGGAAGGGACGAGGGAAACTTATATGTATGGCTCAGGATCTGCATGTCTTAGGAAGTTCATGGGAAAGGTGGCAGGAGAATGTATGTCTCCCTGGAATAGCAGGCTACTATGCCAGATCTGACAAAGGTGGGGGAGAGGTATCGGGAGAATGGAGGTCTCATTCCTTCCCAGTGACCCTATCCCACAATCCTACCACCATATCCCCTCCCTTACCCTCTGAAATGGTGGTTCCTTCATGGGTATCCCCCCACTCTGACATATCAATTCTTTGTGGGAGTAGGCACATCCTTCCCTACTGAGGCCTGACATGGTAGCACAGCCTGAAGAACATATCCCACAGGACAGGCAACAGCTTTTGTGATAGCCTCACTCTAGTTTTGGGGGACCCACATGAAGGGTAAGCTGCATATCTGCTACATATGTGCACAGAGTCCTAGTTCTGGCTTATGTGCTGTTTGTTGGTGCTTCAGTCTCTGGGGGCCACAAGAGTCCAGGTTAGTTGATTCTGTTGGGCTTCCTATAGAGTTCCTACCCGCTTCAGAACTACAATCCTTCCCCTGCTCTTCCCTAAGAGTGCCCAGTCTCCATGCACTGTTCGGCTATTTGTGTCTGCATCTGTCTGAGTCAGTTGCTGGGTTGAGCCTCTCAGAAGACATCCATGCTAGACTCCTGACTGTAAGCATAAGAGTGTTATTAACAGTGTCATGGATTGGTTCTTGCTGGTGTGATGGGTCTGTAGATGGGATGGTTATTACTTGACCATTCCCTCAGTATCTGCTCTGTCCCCCATACCTGCATGTTTTTGTCCAAATCACCACATCTCTGCATTCTACCTCTTCCTAGTGCTTCTTGACTATATAGCTAGTTTAAGTTCAATGGACATTCTGGATTACAAAAGACTGTCTCTAAAACAAAGAAGAAAAGAGAAACTAGATTAAAGTAGGACAAATTTTAGCTAATGTCAGCGTAAGTTTTTGTTTTCTTTAGGCTGTTACACTAGGAGTGCTTACAGGATGGGAGAAACTTATTGGGCCAGGGAGCTGGAACCATTACTACAAACTTGATAGGACTTCCTGTTGCTTAGCTATACATAGGAATGTGATGATACCCTTTTATTAACCATTCAAGTGTTTGAATATTTACACCTTTATCATAATTTAAGAAGTCAAATTACATACATGGTATGTTCCACCCGATTAAAAGCAAGGCTCTATAAACCCCAGAGCCATGACAACCTGAAGCAGGTAGTGTGTTCTCTTAGGTTGACTGAGTTAAGTGTCTGTCCTCTGTGGACATGTGCCACCTTTTCATCCAAAACCAAGACTTCCCAGCTGTAGTAATGTCAGTGTTTCAGAATGCACAAGTTTTTCTTTGGAAAGGTGTCTTGAGTGTTGAGAGGCATTATTAGCTTGGGTTTTGACCTCCACCAGATGACAGGATTTTCTCTTTTAGTGATGAAACTTTAAAATACAGCTGATATTGTTTTCTTAGAGAGAGAGAGAGAGAGAGAGAGAGAGAGAGAGAGAGAGAGAGAGAGAGAGAGAGGGAGAGCGAGGGAGAGAGAGAGAGAGAGAGGCAGCGAGAGAGAGAGGCAGAGAAGGGGGGTTAGCGAGAAGCGAGGCAGACAGAGGTGGACTGAACGTGGTGGACTGAAAAGAGACACACAGGCAGAGACGGGCAGAGGAGCACAGAGAGACAGAGTCGCAACCACAAATAGAGATAGTACAAGAAAAGAAATTTCTAAAGTAAGCACAAGCTTTCTACAGTAGAAGTAATCTAGACGATACAGTTTCAACTTAAGTAGCAGTAAAACTTAACCCAATTCTGGTATTTATTCCTCCATCCAAATTCACAAAGTCACATAAACTCTTAACATATAATTTTTACTTTTAGTATTTTTAGCTTTATTTTAAATTATATGTGTGTGTGTGTGTGTGTGTGCATGTGGTTGTGTGTCAGGAGTGTAGGTTCCTTGAGGTCAGGATTTAGATCCCCTGAAGCTGGAGCTGCAGGCTTTTGTGGGCCACTTGATGTGAGTACTGGGAACTGAATTCAGGTCCTTGTAAAAGCAGTATGCACTTTTAACCTGTGAACTACTTCTGCAACCCAAATTTATGTATTTACTTATTTGTGTGGGTATACAACTGAGTGCATGTAGAGATTAGAGGAAACCTTGTTGCAGTTGTATGTTGGTCCAGTGTGTCCACTGAAACATATTTGTAGCCAAAAGCAACATTTTATTATGTGGAAATATAGAACATCTTTTTTTTTCAAAATATAACAAAAATGTAATAGATTTAAAATTCCATGCAAATACCAATGTTCTGTTTTGAAAAGGTATTTTGAATTATATGAATGCTCTCTCTGCACACATGAATTTGCTCCACATGCAAGCAATGCCTGTGATGGCCAGAAGGGGGCAGGAATCCCTGGAGCTGAACTTAACAGATGGTTGTGAGTGGCAATGTTGGTGCTGGGAACTGAACCCAAATCCTCTGGGAGAATAGCAAGTTCTCTTAACTTACTGAACATCTCTAATACACCAATCATTGACGCAATTCCAAGTAAATCTCAGAGGAGACAGTAGGCTCTTGTGCTCCAAAAGCCTGGTACCAGAAGCTCATGAGAAAATACCCAAGTGTGTTACTGTTCACATGCCAGCTGTGTGCTAACTTCCTTCATAAATAACCGGAGGGACACTTTCTCTTAGTTTTGTTTGACTGTAGACATTGATACAAATACATTAAATAACATACCTAAAATTATGAGATACATATAATTTAACCCAGGTCAACCTGACACCCTGATCAGGACTCTTATCCATAGACTTGAAACCCTATAACCCCCAAGTTGGATTCACTGTGTTTTTACCTGAAATAAATCTTGCTGTGACTAAGCATAGAATTATAAACATGTTTATCAAATTGAAAAATTAATAGATGATTCTTAAATGACTTACTGAAGATAGGAAAATTTTAGACTGAATAGCAACATTCTGAGTCCTAACTCATAAAATCATTTACAAATGAAGTACTTACAGATTTCTCTTGGGAGGTACCATGCTCTTTGCAAATTTGTAATGCAACAAATACCCAGTACTCATGCTTTACAGTAGCTGTTGCTCAGAGGTGAATTACCAGTTTTGTCATAATGCTTTTACAGGTGATATATCAAATTATAAACATGAGTATGGGGAAACAACCAACTGAGGGTCTGAGTTCTAGGACCTATGTTGGGTAGCAAGAAGATACAGGCTAGCTGAGTTCATATTCTATGTGAATCAAAGTATGTAAGGGCAGGAGTATTCTATGGGAGGTGAATGTAGAATGTATTTGCACTATAGATTTTTCAGGAATAGAAGGGGCCCTACATTTGGGACACAGTATTTATACACTGCCTTTAGCAGTGAATCCCCACTTCTTTTCACAAGCATGGAAAGAGTTTCATGCAATATTTTTCTCTATCTAGAGGTGTGGGCATAGAAAACTGGTTGGTTGGTTGGTTGGTTGGTTGGTTGGTTGGGCTTAGGCTGGGACTCTAACCATGCTTTGTTTGTGGTATCATAAGAAAGGAAAACCTACATCAGGTACAGGTGAAGGAGATGGGAAGTTGTTGCAGGGGAAGAGGTGGGTGGCTCTTCACCCTTTCTTTCTCTTCAAGAGCAATGGCCTTGCTGGTGATGTAGATCATTCATTAGGCATGTATTTAAGAAATACTGCAATTCATTCTTGGGAGCATTCTATTCCTAATTGTCCTGCATTCTGATTTCATCCCACTCAGATAAACAAAGTAAATACAAAAAGTTTATGAAGACTACATTTCAAACAATATGGACATCGGAGACCAACACTCATATACCTGATAGAAACTATCATGTAATTATAGAACCCCAGTACAAAGCATTGCAGACCATATTTGATTCTGAGTCGGAGCCAGTCACTGCAGTTATAACAGGTCGAATAGGAGAAGGAAAAACCACTTTCTTAAAAAAAGCAATGTTGGATTGGGCCTCAGGAGTTTTATGGCAGAATCATTTTCAGTATGTTTTCTTCTTCTCTGTCTTCTCACTTAACAATATCACAGAGTTAAGCTTAGCTGAGCTTATCTCAAGTAAGTTGCCTGAGTCTTCAGAGACACTGGATGACATTTTATCTGATCCAAAGAGAATCTTATTTATCCTGGATGGATTTGATTACCTGAAATTTGACCTGCAACTCAGGACAAACTTATGCAATGACTGGAGGAAGAGGCTGCCAACACAATTTGTCTTGAGTAGTTTGCTACAGAAAATAATGCTCCCAGAATGCTCTCTGCTTCTTGAATTGGGACAAAGAAGTCTACCAAAAACCTGTCGTTTGCTGCAGTATCCAAGGTTGATACCTATTGTAGGATTCTCTAAACAGTCTGTAGAGTCCTATTGTGTGTCCTTCTTTGGTAACGAGAAAGGCGAAGAAGTCTCTGAGAACTTAAGGAATAATAAATTAATTCATTTATGTAATAATCCTTATCTATGCTGGATGTTCTGTAGTTGTTTAAAGTGGCAACTTGACATGGAGGAGGAAGGGTACATTAGGGCTAAAACAGATTCAGGTTTCTTCACATACTTTATGGTTAGTGCATTCAAATCAGCATATGCCAGTAGTCCATCTAAACAAAACAGAGCCAAGTTAAAGACCCTGTGCACCTTGGCTGTAGAAGGAATATGGGAAAAGTTGTTTGTTTTTGACTCTGAAGATCTCAGGAGGAATGGGATATCTGAATTAGATAAGGCAGTATGGCTGAGAATGAAATTTCTCCAGAATCGTGGTAACCACACTGTGTTTTATCATCCTACACTACAAGCATATTTTGCTGCCATGTTCTATTTCCTCAGACAAGACAAAGACACACATGTCCCAGTCATTGGAAGCATACCTGAACTTCTAGGAAAAATGTATGCTTATGACCAGACCCAGTGGCTCCAGACAGGGATATTTTTGTTTGGAATTGCCAGTGAACAAGTCGCTTCCTTGCTCAATCCAAACTTTGGATTTATACAACCCAAAGATGTAAGACAGGAAATCATTACATACCTTAAAAGTCTCAGTCAACAAGAGTGCAGTGAGAAACTGGAAAGACCTGAGAATTTGTTCACCTGTCTACGTGACCACCAGGAGGAAAGATTTGTAAGACAAGTGATAGACCTATTTGAAGAAATTACTGTTGATATTCGTAATTCAGAAGTATTGTCAATGACTGCATGCAATCTGCAGAAATCCTCCAAACTAAAGAAACTTCATCTGCATATACGAAAGAGAGTTTTTTCAGAAATCTTAGACCCAGAATTTTGTAACATAGAAATCTTTACAGACAACAGACTGTGAGTACATTTCTGAACCTTGTTTACTGTTATTCAATATTTGCCTTAGTGTCCAATGCAATATTTTATAGATGTGTCCATGCTGTATCTATGTAAATTCATCATGAAGCCAGAGGAAGATGTGGGGTCTCTCTCTCTATTGTTCTCTGCCTTAATTCCTTGGGACAGTCTCTCACCATCTTGACGAGGCACACTGACCAGGAAGATACTAGGATCTACCTGTTTCCATCTTCTAATGCTGGGCAACGGCCTCTTGCAACCATGTCCGCCTTTCTATGTCCATACTGTGGATCTGAACTCAGGTTCTCTTCCTTGCACAATAAATGCTCTTACCCGTCAATCCCTCTCTCCAGCGTGGTAAAGTTCTTATATGTCTATGCTTGACTGTTTAGATAGAACAGTCAGAAAAGCTTTCTGCTGTGTTTTCACACTGCTGTTTGGAGCTGTGTGGCTCTGAACAGCCATGTCTGGACTCCCTCCATTCATGCAAAGAAGAAATTTCTCACAGGACCGGTGTTAGGTGGAAATGTGAGCAATTTCATTGCAGCGTTTGATGCTTGCCTTCATCCATAGTATGTTTAGAGTGTCCTGGTGATTACATTAGTGGTTATACTAAGTTGCTCTAGTTGAACATGCCTCACATGGAATTAAGTGTGCTAGCTCATACTTGGTCTTTCATATGTGTAAGTCTTTTACTGGACTTACTAAGTAATTCCCTCAGGAGTCCCAAATATCTACCCTAATTCACATAGAAATCATGCTTTGTCACTAAAACAAGAGGCACTAGAGATCCCAGTAAAGTTGGATGGCTTCAGCAGTGAATCATAGATAGTAATAGTGACTCCCCAACAGACATTCAAGTCTAGTTTGTCTCATCTCAAGCCATGCCTCTCTATTATAATTTTTTTCAGTGCATTGATTTGTAATTTCACTCTGATATATACTGTATTCTGGTTACTCTCACTTTCTATTCAGTTCTGTTTCTCTTCTATCTCATCACCTGACTTCTTCACAAGTTCCTTTCTCACACTGACATCTTTTTGTTTTGTCAGCTATGGAGCTTAACTAAGGTTAAACTCAGTGTGCCCAAGGGTTTGGAACTGAGCATTAGACCCTGGTGGGCTCACTTGTGGAAACAAACTTGAAGGTGACTACTCCCTCCCCGGAAGGCAGTGATTAAGCCAGAAGGAGTAGATCTGTGTGACCCTCTCCCTACTTTATTGTTGACTGGTATCAGGCCTGGTCTTTTACAGGACAATTAAGGCATCCATTGATGCGATGGATCAAGACTTCAATGTCTAGACCATGCCTTGAAGATGGCATTTTGTATCCCACAGTGCTCTCTCCTCCTCCCTCTTGCCCTCTCCTCACCACTCCTTGAGTCTCCTCTCTGAGCCTCTATCCTCTCCTCACCTTGTTCCTCTCCTGTCCTTTCTTTCCTTAAGAACAGATTGATTTATTTTTCTATTTAATGTATATGAGTGTTTTGCCTGCATGTATGTCTATGTACCTTGTGAGTACAGTGCCTGTGTAGCCCAGAAGAGGCCATTAGATCTTCTGAGACTGAGGTTACAGATGATTGTGAGCTTCCATATGGATTCTGGGACTCAAACGTGTGATATTTGCAAGAGCATGAAGTTGTCTTAACCTCTTAGGCATTTCCTGCCCCAGGACCACTTTCTTAATCACTATGCTATGTTGATCCATTTTATTTATATTAACTTCTCCCAGTTGCATGGGTAACTGCCAGATTGGAGGGGGTTGGGAGTGATTTACCTATTTGGGGGATGTCTTTAGTTGAATTTAACCATTAGGGAATAATGTTTGTTATATAATTGCAGAAAAGCAACCAGATATTGGGAAATGTTATGCAGCATTTTCTGCAACTTACATTTGTTGGATCTGGACAGCTGTCATTTCAATAAAATGGCCATACAGGATCTCTGTAATTCAATGTCTCCATCGCCTAGGGTGCCTCTTACTGCTTTTAAGCTCCAAAGCATGTCGTAAGTTTAATAGTGACCTATCCTCTAAGTAGATAGAAGAAATTCCCTCTCTTCCTTCAGGGGAAGACTAAAGCATGGGCAAATGCAGAAGTAAACTCCAAGAATAGTAAATACGATAGTACCCAAGAGTCTATATTCGAAGTTTTCGTCACACACACACACACACACACACACCCCTGATTTATGTATAGTTTAAAAGCCTATACATCTAGTGTGTGTATGTGTCTGTAAATCCACATGGCAAAATAGCACTCAACAGGGACTGACTTTATTCTAGAGACTACAATGAATGTTAATTAAAGGTCAATTTTAAATTATTTTTAATTGTGAATATGTATGTGTGCATCTGAATTCGGTTCTTTGGTGTTAGAGTTATTAACAGTTGTGAGGTTCCTGACAATGTGTGCTGGGAAATGAACTCTGGTTCTTTGCAAGAGCAGTTTGTGCTCTTTTCCACTGAGCCATCCGTCCAGCCCAATGTTAATCTCTAGGTCATTATGATGACATCTACTTGTTAGTATGAGGAAACGTAGCCTGGATTAAGTCTGCTTGCATTTTTCCCACCTTAAAAAGGGAATGAATACAAAAAGAAAAAAATCTAATTTTCTTAAAAGTCTAGAACCCATTCTATGACCATTATAGATTGTGATGCCGTAAAAAAAATTAATACTTAATAATCCAGGTGATGGTAGCACATCCTTTAATTCCAACAGTAGGGAGGCAGAGGCATGGAGATCTCTGAGCTTGAAGGCAGCCTGGTCTACAGAGTAAGTTTCAGGAGAGCCAGGGTTGGTCAGTGAAACCCTGTCTCGAAAAAACAAGCAAAAAAGAAAAAGGAAAAGAAATTAGAAAACCATTAGTACGTAAAGAGGAATGAGCCCTTTACTTGGGATACACAGCTAAAAACATTAATACAAATACAAATCTCTGTGTTATACATAAAGCGTAATTCTGGTTTGGTTGCCATGACCAAAGGCATCCTGGAGAAGGAAAGTGCCTATTTCATTTTTTTTACCACTCCTTCATCATAATCCATCAACAAGGGCAGTCAAGGCAGGAACCTGAAGGCAGGACCTGAAGCAGAGACCATAAAGAGATGCTGCTTGCTGACTGATCTCCCCATGACCTGCCTCCACAATCTTTCTTATTCGGATTAGCCAACCTTGCCCCCTCAGAGTGGCATTTCTACACTGATTTGTGATGAATAAAGTGCCCCACAGGCATATCATTCTGATGGAGGCAATTCCTCAATTCAGGTTCCCATTTCCCAGATAATGTCAAGTTGGCAACTTCGATTAGCTGGGACAAGGCAATGTCCAGAGTTTAATATGAGGGTATGAGTCTCCTTAGAATGTTCTAGGTGTCATACAGAAGTGGTCAATGCAAGAAAGGGGAGAGATCTGAGTAGCTCGTGCCTTCACCAGTGAGAGTTTATGAGGTAACTGGGATGCCCAAACAACCACAGCATGTAAGACAAGTCTGGGAAAGTGTGAATGTAAGTTGATCAGCCATGGACCCACACATCCTAGTATAATGTGACATTTGGTCTTATTCTGCAGGTGTTCCTTCATGACTAACTATGGAGATGGTTCATTATTTCACACCCTTCTTCAGCTACCTCACCTGAAATACCTCAACCTGTATGGCACTAATCTCTCCAAAGATGTGATTGAGAGTCTGTGCTCGGCTCTGAGATGCTCGGCATGCCAAGTTGAGGAGCTGCTGTAAGTCAATGCTTTGTCCACACGCAGGAGTTCCTTTAGAATGGTTTTTCCCACAGATCTGGTGAATTTAAAATAATTTCAAGCACTTTTAATTAAGTCAAGGAAAAGATAGATAATAAACACTACACCAAAACAAAAATAGTATAGCAAATGCAAGTGAAAATATAGCACCCCATGTGTCTCAGTTATGAACAATTTTGTATAATCTAAGCATTGAATATTTATATTACAAAACTGAACTTGAATATAAAACATGAATAATGTTGACAAAAATAGTATAATCATTGAGGCTGTAGATATGCCACCTGCATCAGTCTTACTTAGCACTGTACATGGATATGATATTATTACACTATATATTTGGAAAATGAGATATAGCACAATAATTTCATGCTTTAAATATATTTTCTAAATGGAATAAATTCAACTAAATAGATAAATTCATCTACCACAACTCAATATATCATATTTGCATGTGAAAGTATATATTTAGAATAATGTTTGGAAATGTGGGATCAATTTTAAGAGTCAATTTAAAAGAAGAAGGTTATAATATTAGTTTCTCAGAAGACTGGGGTAGGCAAACTGCAAATTGAAGGTCTGCTTGGTCTATATAGTACTAAGTTCAATGCCAGCCTCAACAATTTAGCACATCCTTGTCTGCAG